AAAAAAAACATCTTCTGTGCAGCCTTCACCACTCTCTGCAAAGCTTTTCTTTCTGCAGCTGTGCAGCCTCCATGCCACACATTGATGCTGGAGCACAGGATGCTCTCCACTGCACACCTGTAGAAGGAGGTGAGGACTGAGCTTCCAGACCAGCTCGCCTCAGCCGCCTGAGGAAGTAGTGTCTCTGATGATCTTTCGTGATCAGGCTGGTGGTGTTGTTGCTCCAGCTGAGGTTGTTGTTCAGGTGCACACCCAAGTACTTGTAGCTGGAGACCACTTCCACCACAGATCCTCTTATGTTCAGGGGGTGTAGATGTTTTTGTTCCTTTTGAAGTCCACAATCATCTCCTTTGTATTCTTCACATTGATGTGAAGGTTGTTCTCTTTGCACCAGCTCTCCAGGTGTTCCACCTCTTGCCTGTAGCTGGACTCATCATTGTTTGTGATGCATCCCACCACCGCTGTATCATCTGCAAACTTTACAATGTGACAGCCTGGATGGGTAGCTGCACAATTATATGTGAGCAGAGTAAACAGAAGGGGGCTCAACACACATCCCTGAGGAGAGCCAGTGCTGAGGGTTATGGTGGAGGAGGAGAGGTTGTGGATCCTCAATAACTGTGGTCTGTTTGTTAAAAAGTCTAGTACCCAGTTGCAAATGGAGGGGCTTAGTCCTGGTGTGGATAGTTTGTCCATCAGGGTTTGGGGGATCATGGTGTTTAAGGCAGATGTGAAGTCCACAAAGAACACACGGACGTAAGAGTTTTTCTGCTCCAGGTGGTTGAGAGCAGTGTGGACCACAGAGGAAATGGCATCCTCTGTTGATCGGTTCTCATGGTATGCGTACTGATGAGGGTCCTCGTGAGGGTTTGATGGTTGTTTTGAAGTGGGTCGTGACCAGTTTTTTGAAGCATTTAGCAACTATCGGGGTGAGGGCCACTTGCCGATAGTCATTCAGACCAGTCACTGTAGAGCTCTTTGGGACTGGGATGATGGTGGCAGTCTTTAGACATATGGGAACTGTCTCAAGGATAAGTGAGGTGTTAAAGATGTCTGCCAGCTCCTCGCAGAGCAGATCGGCACATTCTTTTAACACTTTCCCAGGGATGTTGTCTGGGCCGGTTGCCTTGTGCAGATTAATCCTCCTGAAATTACTCCTTACTTCTGCTGAGGTCACGCTGAGATGCCCTCATCAGTACGCATACCGTGAGAACCGATCAACAGAGGATGCAA